CAGTCCCCGCGAGCCTTCCCGGGACAGCTGCCACACACGTCAGCCCGGCCGCCATTGCGTGTGGCTGGACGACCGTGACAGGTTGTCGCCTCGCCTGTGCTGCCCCACGCCTCAGCGGGCGGGAGGGCAGTTGGGCCAGACGCCACGTTCAGACCAAGGTCCAGAGCCCGCTTGGCATGGTCGGGCACGCTCGCAGAGAGCAGCAGCGCGAGCACTACTACGTATATCGACCGCTCGAGCACTTCTCGACGCGCACCACAGCTCGATGCCCAGGACGCCACCATGGGCTACCGACGCCGTGTCCAACGGGGGCCAGTCAGCACCACCAGGTGCTGCCAACTGGCGTTGTACGCAGTGTGGTACGCAGGGCGGTGAGTCTTTCGGTCCACGTCCTGCCCCTCCCCCTCCTCGCCAACCCGAGGGGGCGCTTGGGGCGTTTGCCTGTCTAATGGAGTTATGCCGTCGACGGTGCCAGATCTACAATGCGTCAACGCCAGGGCTCTTGGAGGTGGCATAGAAGTTTGGTAATGCACTTGGCGTCGACTCTTCGTCTGCATCAGACCTTGCCGAGATCTTCGGCCGGACGGGCAGACTCCGCAGCTGCAACGAGGTCGGGCCTCATTTGAAGTTGACGCGGTTCGTGATCGTTGGGAGTGGCACAACCTTCGCGCAGTCCTCAAGATGATGTCAGCAAAGGGGACGGCCTCTCCACTATGGACCACGCGGGCACTAGTCGGGGGGCCACGGACGGAGACGTGCAGCGGGAGATGTCGAAGCATGCTGGCACGGTCAAGAAGGCTTTCTCTTTCATCCGCGATGACATTTACAGCGCTCCATCAATCTTTGGGGGGTCAACTCGCGCGCAGCGGAACCAGTACGGTTACAGAGCTAGTCATATCAAGACCATCGCCCACGGGATGGACTACGACTACAAATTGCAGACTGGCGCTTGCAAGGTCGAGTTTAGGCACATGGTGATCACATCACGTGCATGAACGACGTGGCGGAGATCGGCGAGATGGGCCTGCTCGCCGCCAGCGACCCAGATGACCAGCGCGGAGCTGAGGCGCGCGAGTTAATGATGAGCGTCTTGAAGGAGAGGCACGACAACATCGCGCCAGATCTCTTCTGTTATCCAGGGGAGTTTCGGCTGGCACTTGGTCGGGGCTCGAGCCCCCATGAGCGGCTGAAGGCGAGGCGAGATACTATCATCTCCGATTGGAAGCTCATCCTGGAGGTGGAGACGGCGGTCTTGTCCAGACCAGGCGCGAAGCAGCTTCTGGGCGACATCTTCTGGTTAAGGTGGCCGATCCATCGATTGGCATTTGAGCGGAACGAACGGGAATCGGGGGCTGGCCTCGACATCCCCGACGGTTTCATTCGGACCGTGACTGTCGCCACGGAGCACTAGCCAGACTCCAAGGGCCCAGAGGACGTGCACCAACACATCCGAAACGAAGGTCGGGCGAAGCGGAACACTACCATAGCTCCAAGTCGGTTGTGCCGGGCGCAGCAGGAGTGCAACATTGCTGGCTCTCGAGGCATGGGGACGTTTCAGCTGGGCGACGTGGGGGTGTCCAGCAACATTTGCCATCGCGACAACCAGGACTCCGTCGCCGCCGAAATCAGAGGTGACCCGAATAGTATGCCACATGTGTTTCGACGAATACTTGACAGAGGCTACAAGTACAGCTCGCCGAATGGGCAGTCGTATACCATGGCGTGCTCAGCGTGGACACGGCTTCAGGCATGGGCGAAAATGGGGGGCGATAGGCCAAATCTTCTGAGCTCGTGGCATTGCAGGATGGTGCCAGAATTAACTATATTGTTGCATGGAGCCGTTGGTTCGGCGATGGTTGTCATCAGCCAGCAGCTCTGGGGCTTATTCGTGTGCGACCTCGGCCGTGGCCGTAAAGGCGACTTGAGCCATTTCAAAATGCGGTCCGACGCAGGTGCGTTCCACGACTATTGCGTGACTAACCCTACGAATCACGAGGTGGTGAATATCTCCAAGGTGACGTTCCTCGCTGGCGTTGGCAGGGTGCTCTTGGTGTCGGAGGGGGCCCATGACGCCGCTGGCAGCGTCGCTGCTTGCGGGCGTGCCCCTGGCCCTGGACCACATGAAGAGCATCGCGGACGTGGACCTTGGCGACTCTGCTAACGCCTCGGCGGGGGCTGCCCGCGAGAAGCGGGCTGAATTGACATTCGCTGGGTTCCCAGATCTCATCGCGAAGCGCGCGGTGGCCCTCCACATGCACGGCCAGGACGACCTCGGCGCGGAGCTCGGGGAGGACTTCATTTGTATGATCGACGAGACCTTGGCCCACGACGCCCAGAACTGCAGCGAGATCCAGGCGTTCCGCACGGCGCTGAAGCAGCAGAGAGCGAAGCACATGGTCGAGAAGAGGAAAGGAAAACGCGAGGCCAAGAAGGCTGCCGTGGATGAGAAGAGCAAGAGCCATACCGTCAAGGGCAAGCTTGCCTCAGGGATCGGGGCGAAGCTGGTGATCGCCGCGGCGGCAGGCGGACCCGATCCACCTGCGGGCGGCCCTGCTGGGGACCTTGTCGTAGGACTTGCAGGGTGTCCCGTTGGCGCTGGCGGCACCGCGGCTGGCGCCGTCTCAGGCGCTGACGGCGGCGGCGGCGGCGGCGCGCCAGGCCCTGTGCTGCTCCTGCCCGCGTCACCTGTCGGCCATGGCGCTGGCGCTGGCCTCGCCGCGGGCGGCGGCAAGGCCCTGCCCACGCTGCCCCCGCCCAAGAAGAAGGCGAAGGCTGTCGAGGCAGGCGACGGCGCCGCGGGCGCGCACGGGCCGAAGGCTCCGCGTGCAGAGCCGTCCGGGCCGCGGCAGGTCGCAGAGCTTTACACTGGCGGCATCTGCGTCGGATGGGCGGCGCGCTGTCGTGACCACGTCGACCCCGCCTAGCTGCACTTGACGCGAGTGAAGCATGATACGCTGGGCACGGGCGCAGGCGGCCAGCCTGCGCTGTCTCACGGCACAAGCAGGCGGAGAATGAAGCAAGGGTTGTTGATTTGACGGTCCATCCCAGAGCAGCAGCGCGGCTGCCACGTCTGCACCGACGCTCGGACCAAGGACCTGTTGCCCAACCCCGAGGACGAGCTGGACGCTGCGGCCGCAGCAGAGCTTTCCAAGCGGCAGCCCGCCGCTGCTAAATGAGCTTCGCGGTCGCACCGCATCCTTCCCCCCCCTCATCCTCATCCTCATCCCCCCTCTCATCCGCATCTCAACGCCCCTCAAACGGGGACTCCGCTAACGGGTACTTTGGCCAGTGACCCAGCGAACCCAACCCTTCCCGATGTGGGCAAAGCTGCAATGCAAGAAAAGGGCCCTAAAGTGGCAACTTTCGGCAAACATTCAAAATACCCGTTAGTAAGTACCCGTTACGGTGCCGTTGAGCATCCTCCCTCCCTGCACGGCCGGGGGAGGGATCGGGGACAGGACAGCTCCTCGCAGGCCCCGCCCGCGGCGCTGCGCCCGAGGCTGACTTCGAACAGGCTGAGGGGGGAGGAAGGAGAGGTGACGGGAAGCGCAGGAGGGGAGCTGGGCTCACATGTAGACTGGGGGCAATGCGAGGAGGGGCAAGAGGAGGTGGATGAGGCGGCGGGGATCGGGGGAGGGGAGGGGGAACAAATCGGCCGATAGGAGAGATAAGGGGGACGGAGGAATGTCGCACGATGGCGTGCGAGGGGCACCGCTGCAATGTTATGGGAAGGGTTTGCGGGCTGAGTGAGGGCGGGCATGGCTTGAGGCTCGGAACCCGCATGATCGCTTACTCGCGGGCAATCGCTGCTAGTCATCACCCGTGACGGGTGATGACTATCAACGACTGCTTGTGCGTCGTCCTCGTTGTCGCCGTCTTCGTCGCATGACGACGAAAGGCGAGGACAAGGTTATTTCCAGGCCCCCCCCAAAAAGGACACGCCAGACCCCCATTGCTTTTGCACGGCCCCTGGAGGCTTGACACAGATTGCGATCATGCGCTGAGGGACGGCCGACGCCAATACGGCCTGCTGTCGCCTCTACTTACCTCTACCTCTATTTACCTCTATTTACCTCGCCCTATTTACCTCTATCTACCTCTACTTACCTCTATTTACCTCCCTCGCCTTCAATAGGGTGACCCCTGTTTACCTCTGCCCTCCTCGCTCCTGCTGTCGGGCATCCGACCGCTCCTCGCCTCCATCCTCCTCGCCGCCCGCTCCTCGCCCCCGTCCTCCTCGTCACCCGCCGTCGCGGGCGCCGACCCGCGCACGGGCGAAGAGAGGGGGGGGTTGAGAGGGTCTGGGGGAGAGAGGGAAGGCTGAGAGAGAGGGGGGGGGGTCTAAGAAAGAAAAGGAGAGAGAGAGAGAGAGAGAGAGAGAGGGAGTGTCAGAGAGAGAGGGGGTAGGGTCTGAGAGGGTCTGAGGTCTGAGAAACATAAAGGGGGGAGAGGGAGAGAGAGAGAGAGAGACAGAGAGGGCCTGAGAGGGTCTGAGGGAGAGAGGGTCTGAGAAAGGGTCTGAGAGGGTCTGATACATACTTAGAGAGAGAGAGAGAGAGAGAAGGGGCTCGTCGTAGTCGTTGTCGTCGTCGCCGCCGCCGTCGGTGTCGTCGCCTCAGTCGTCGCCGTCGTCGAGGTCAAAATCGTCGACGTTGTAGTCGCCGACGTTGCCGCCGTCGCAGCGGCGACAACGGCGGCCACGACGACGACGACGGCGACGACGGCGACGGCGACGACAGCAACGATGACGACGGCGACGCCTCTGTCGTCGCCATCGCCGCCGCCGCCGCCGTCGGCGCCGTCGCCGTCGTCCTCGCCGTCGTCGTCGTCGTCGTCGTCGTCGTCGTCGTCGATCGTCGTCGTCGTCGTCGTCGTCGTCGATCGTCGTCGTCGTCGTCGTCGATTGTCGTTGCCTCCGCCTCCGTCGTCGTCGTCGCCCCCTTTCCCCCGTAGCCATTTTGGCTCAAGCCTCGTGGGGGGGGGCGAGCGCCCATGCCCGGCGCGGCTCGTGCCGACGTGTTTCCGCGCCCCTGCGCGGGCCGCCCCGCTCGGGGACAAATGAAGACTCGCGCGGGCTGCAGCGCCTCGCGTCGCTCCGGGCGCGGGGCCCAATTAGGGGGCAAACAACCCTACCTCGCTTTTGACCACCCTCGCTTCCAAGAGATACCACGCGATGCCGAACTACGGCCTGTACTGGTCAGGCCGCTTGACGAGGAGGCGCGTGGTATGACTTGGTTTTGCCTGGAAGCAAAAGCGGGGTAGGTAATTCACGCTCTGACCAATTCATGATCCATGTGCCTGTTTTGTCCCCGCGCGTTCCACCGTCCGAGCCGACGATGGCGCGGGGGGCCCGCGCGATGCGTTGGCTTGCGCTGCAACGCCACCCCGAGGGCCGCAGCTGTAACGTATAGCCCCAGCCCGAGTGGCCATTCAGGCTGCTGCCTCTCTCATGGTGGTGTCTCTTTCGGATCTTCACATGAAGGTGCCGTATCGCATGCACGTAATATGTTATTGTATGTTGCCGGCCTTCTCCTGGAAGATTTGTTTGCATCGCCCAGCGCTTTTGTTTTCCTTCCCAAGGCTTTTTCACTCTCCACGCCCCCCCATGCAGCCTGGCCCCAACAGCGAGCCAATGATCATCCTCTTGCTCATCTGCCACCACCACCACATCCACCTCCTCATCATCTATTGCACTCAATTCCCCTTTCCATACTGCGCATAACACGACGGGATCCTTTTCAGCGATCCAGGTCCGCTAGGACACCCGTCAGTGGACAGAGCAAGCATCAGCGCAATAGGAGGGGTGGGCGGGAGGGGCATGACGCCAGATATGGCGCGAACGCATCTAGCTGCCCTGCCTCCTCTCTCATTTCTTCTCTCTGTATTCCTCCTTATTCTCCTCCTGTCTCTTCCTCCTCCTCCTCCTCCTCCTCCTCCTCCCTCCTCCTCATCCCTCCTCCTCCTCCTCCTCCTCCTCCTCCTCCTCCTCAAACTCCGCCTGGTCATCTTCGACACCTGGTGGATTTCGGGTCATAGCTCGGCCCTCCCGCGGCGGTTCGGGACGATTTAGGCCCCCCCGGATGCCTCTCGGCAAGGCGCAGCCGCTGGAGAGTACCCCGAGCCAGGAAAGCCACCGACAACCGACGAAAACGTCAAACACATTGAAACGAAAACTATTTTTTTTTTCCCTCCCTCCTCCACCTCCCCACTGGCGGCCTCCAGGGCGGCCTCGCGCGCCGCCGCTCCCGCCAGCAGCTCCACCTCCGAGCGCAGCCGCGCGCTCAGCTGCGCTGCGTCGCGGAGCCCCCGCACGATGCGGAGGCTCGGGACCTTCGCGGGCGCCGGCGCCCTCCCGAGCCGCGCCAGAGGAAGAGGAGCAGAAGGGAGGAGGACGAGGTGGAGGAGGACGAGGAGTGATGTTCTGCCCAGCCATCGTGCGGTCTTGCGTCCGCGCTTTGAACCAGTATGGCCCCGCGTCACCTCCTCACCTCCTCTCGTTCCCCCCTCTCTCCTCCCGCCTCATCGTCATCGTCATCAACATCCACACAGTCAACATCATCATCAACATCATCATCATCATCATCATCATCATCATCATCATCATCATCATCATCATCATCATCATCATCATCATCATCATCATCATCATCAGCACCATCATCGGTATCAGTAGCATCATCATCACCACCATCATCATCAATAACAAAATAAGAAGCATGAACACTGTCACAATCATCCGTCACCTTTCGGCACGTCCCCTCACACGCTTCGTGAATCCATTGGGAGCTCCACCGAAGGCCCCAGCGGCAGCGCTCTACGGAGATCCACCGAAGGCCCCAGTGGCGGCATTCGCATGCGTTCTCGCCTCTCGTTTCGCCACACCCCTCACATGCTTCGACGCCCCATGCAGAGATCCTCTGAAGGCCCCGCTGCCAGCGTTCGCACGCATTCTCGCTTCTCAGCAACCCTCACACGTTTCGTGGTCTCATAGAAAGCTCCACGGAAGGCCCCAGTGACGACATTCGCATGAATTTCTGGCCTCTCATTTCGCCACAGCCCTAAGACCTTTCCTGGCCGGCCCCTTAAAGACAGAACTCCACCGAAGGCCCCAGCGGCAGCGTTCCCATGAGCCCCCGCCGATCATTTCGGCACGCCCCTCACACGCTTCGTGAATCCATTGGGAGCTCCGCCGAAGGCCCCAGCGGCAGCGTTCTACGGAGATCCACCGAAGGCCCCAGTGGCGGCGTTCGCATGCGTTCTCGCCTCTCGCTTCGCCACACCCCTCACATGCTTCGACGCCCCATACAGAGATCCTCCGAATGCCCGCTTCCAGCGTTCGCACGCTTCGTGGTCTCATAGGGAGCTCCGCCGAAGGCCCCAGCGGCAGCGTTCGCAGGAGTTCTCACCTCTCATGTCGGCACACCCCTCACACGTTTTGGGGCCCCATGGTAGCTCTACCGAAGGCCCCAGCGGATGCGTTCGCATGAGTTCCCGCATATTCTTTCGACACACAGATCCCACGCTTCGTAGTACCATAGGGAGCTCCACCGATGGCCCCCAAGCCAGCATTCGCATGACTTCCCGCCTCTCGTTTCGCCACACCCCTCAAACGTTCCGTGGCCCGAAAGGGAGCTCCACCGAAGGCCCCAGTGGCAGCGCTCCCGCCCCAATTCTGGTTCACCCCTCACACGCTGCGTGGCCCAATAGGGAGCTCCACCGAAGGCCCCAGTGGCAGCGTTCGCATGAGCTCCCGCCGTTCATGCCGGCACATTTCCTACACGCTTCGCCCTTCCACCGAAGGGCCCAATGGCAGGGTTCGCATGTGGCTCATACTGGCGCACCCCTCACACGCTCCGTGGCCCCGTACTCGCCCTACAGGGACCTTGTGATCCGTCCGCCGCCACCTATCCAACCTGCCCCGTGCCACATCCTTTCTGCGGCGCGCTGCTTGCGAGGAGAGGGCCGCTTACAACGCTATTCGCAGTTGGCTCGCCCCCTCCTTGGTTTCTCCTGCATCTGGTCAGGTCCTTCGCAAAGTTAAGTTGTGCGGCTGCACTGCTCTCCGACGATGCTTCGCAGACTTCCTGGCTGGCGGCCAGGAAGCCGTCGAGCACGAACCTTGCTGACCCCACATTGCGGGGGCTCGGCGAAGCCAGACAGGCATGCTCGAACATGCCAACAGGACAGAGCGCTCCAGGCCACACGACAGGGCCGCACCTCCGTGGCCAGTGGAGGAGGAGCGAGGAGGAGGAGGAGGAAAAGGAGGAGGAGTGACCAGAGTAAACCAAATATACATCGGCGATTCTGCGACACACACTCCCGTCCCAAGTCCCCTCCTCAGACGCCCCTACATGTCCTCCTTGTCACTGCAGGAAGCGCCCCCACTCGAAGGATCAACACAAAGGCGCCTGCCATGTTGGCGAGGGCCCCACTTTGAAACGGAACTGCCATGCATCCTTCTGGCGAGAAGTCAGGGACACGAGCAGACAATGTCAATACAGTTCAGCGGTATCCCCACGTCCAAAAAGGATCGCCGCCCTCTGTGTAACTGTTGCACAACTGTCCTCTTGTAGTCGTGAGCTCAGGGGAAATCTCAAACGAGAGCTCCACTTTGAAAAAGACCCGCCATGGGATCCATGCGGCGCTACTGCGTTGAAGTTCCGGGCTTTTAACTTGACGAAGTCTCCTTCGAGAAATCCATGTTGAAAGAGAACAGCCCTCCATCTTGCTAAACGATGCATGAAACACGAATGCGCGCAACACTGGTGCAAGAGTCCCATTCCAGGAAAGAACGGATCTCCATCCGTGAAACAGCTTCCACCCCTTACCGACATCCTCCCTTCCAATATCCTTCCTCCTCTTTCCTCCTGTTCCCCTTCCTCCTCCTCCTCCTCCTCCTCCTCCTCCTCCTCCTCCTCATTCCCCTTAATTGCTCCCTCCTCCCTCCCCCCTCCTTCTCATTCATTATCCTCCTTCCTCCCTTGAAGTCTTCTGCAGCCTCCTGGGGTCTCTGGTCGAACGCCCCCTCCCCCTCCCCAGGCATCCGACGTCGTGCCTCTCCCCAGCTGTTTTTCCCCTTCACCTCTGCCCCTGCTTGCCTCTGCCATCCGCGTGCGCCAATGTCGGCACAGCCCTCACACCTTTTCGTGGCCCAAGGGGGCTCCCACTGAAGGGCCAAATAGCTTCGTTTGGATGTCGTTCCCCCGCCCATCCCGGCACACCCGTCACACGTTTCGCGCCCCCATCTGGAGCTCGACCGGATGTCCACTTGCTTTCGTCGTAACTCGGGTCCCTGGTGGCCGTTCGGAAAGATTCAGGCATCCCTGGACGCCTCTCGGCGAAGCGCAGCGGCTGAAACCACCCCGAAGCGGGTAAGCCGCCAAGAGCAAACGAAAACGACCGAAAACCTGAACCCCGAAGCCCTTGTTCCCCCTTGTTGCTCCTGAAACCCTCAGAACACCACCGCAGATGATTCCGTACAGCAGGCGCGCCGGACCGGAACGGAAACGGAAGACAGAACCCTGGAGCAGAAAACGAAAATCCGTTTTCCGTTTTCCGTTTTCCGGTTTCCGTTCCATGGTTTCCGTTTTCCGGTTTCCGGTCTGGGCAGAAAGCGAAATTGCGTTTTCCGTTTTCCTTTTTCGGGTTTCCGTTTTCCGTTTTCCGGTTTCCGGTCTCTGTTTTCCGTTTTCCGGTTTCCGGTTTCCGTTTTCCGTTTTCTGGTTTGGGCAGAAAACGAAGTTCCGTTTTCCGTTTTCCGGTTTCCGTTTTCCGTTTTCCGGTTTCCGGTTTTCCGTTTTCCGGTTTCCGTTTTCCGGTTTCTGGTTTCCGTTTTCCGGTTTTGGCAGAAAACCAAATTCCGTTGTCCGTTTTCCGTTTTCCGGTGTCCGTTTTCTGGTTTCCGGTTTCCGCTTTCCAGTTTCCGTTTTCCGCTTTCCGTTTTCCGGTTCCCGGCTTGGGCAAAAAAGCGAAGTTCCGTTTTCCGTTTTCCGTTTTCCAGTTTCCGTTGTTCGCTTTCCGGGTTCCGTTTTCCGTTTTCCGGTTTCCGTTTTCTACTTTGCGTTTTATTGCTTGCCGCCCGCGCCCAGCACAGGCCCCCCCCCCCCCCTTGTCGTCAAAAGCTGGTGCACCGAGGGGCCGTTCTTGTGGAGTTGGGCTTCAGTTTACTTTCGGTACGCCTCGCCCAGACAAGCTCAACATTTGCCAGGGCACAAGTCAAGAGGTCGACAGTTGCATTCGAATGCCTGGTGACTGTACGGCACCACGGGCACCGGCGGATTGGCGCCAGAAGGTCCAGACTCTCCGGCCAGAGCTTCGCTACTCTCCCCGTCATCCACGCCGTCATCCTCGTCATCGGCCGCCTTGTCGTCGCCCACTTCTTTTTGTTGGTATACGTTCGAGCCTGACGGACAAACGCGGCGCTCTGCGTTCTTGTCCGATCAGGTTGGCGCCAGAGGGTCCGGAATCTCCGGCCAGAGCCTCGCGAGCCGATGGCGGTGCTGATCGCCCCCCCGACCCTCTCTCGCTGCGCCGGGCGGCCTGGCCGCTGCCGCTCGGGCGGTGCGGCAGGACGGCCCTGCCAGGCCAGCTCGTGGGTTCTCCGCGGCATGGCCAATGATAGCTGGGACTGGGAACCCCGGATCTCTGGGCCCCGCCTCGATGGCAGGGGCCCCGAAACAGCTCGGGGAAGCTGGGCGACCACACGAGCGGCTTTCAAAAGCGGGCCTCACGCGAGATGGCACAGCGGCCTTACGCCACAGCTTACGCGGGACGCGAGCGCGGCACGCTGCGTTTTTTCCACGATCAAGAGCGGGCCCTACGCGAGATTGCATAGCGGCCTAACGCGGCGGCTTGAGCGGGCCGCCAGCGACGATAAGATTTGTTCGATCTGGGCCGCGTCCCTCGATCTCGACCTCTGGGGCCCGTCTTTCGGGCCTCGGGGCCACCGGCATGGGATCCACGGGGCGAGGCGCTACCCCCAGGGGCAGGAGTCGGGAGCTGCTGGGGGGTCGCGGATTGAACAACAAATCAGACAGCCGGACCGAGGTACAAGATCGAGGTCGGCTCGTGGAGGGCAACCTATTGTCCTTCGTGTTTGTGGGATGTTCCACGCGCTCAGGGCGTGACCCGCCCCCCTGAGAGGCCTCGCTCCCTTCCCGCCCCCTCCTTCGGCCGCTTCCTCTGCCCTGTCCCCTTCTCCTGCATGGTGGCGCACTTCGCTGCAACGGCACCCCCGTTTAGTTAGCTCTCCGCCAGCGCAGTTACTCTGCCTAGCCGCCGACGCAAAAAAACAGTTTGTGGGATGTTTTGGGGGCATCCTGGGGGATGAG